TTACTATTGAAATATTTTTTGTTGTTCCTTCTCTTAGAACAATTAATCAGTGGAACGACTTGCCTCTAGAAATTGTGGGTGCTCCAACACCGGATGTTTTTAAGAAGAGATTGGACATCTATTTGTCTGAAATAGTGTAGAATTTCCTGCCTGAGCAGGGATTTGGATTAGATAATTTCCAAAGTCCCTTCAACTTGGTTGTTCTGTTGATCTCCACCCTTCTCCATGGAAAATTACCTTCTAATGACTCAAAACCATGACAAGATAAAATCAAATACCCACATCTTCATACTATTCAGGTTTATTGTTTTTCTAGTTTGATGCCCTCCATAACTACCCAGAAATAAACACTACTGAAGTCAATGTGCTTCATATTTTTTCTCAGTTTATTTTAATATGACTGTTTTCAGCTTTGTCACTGTTTGGAGGGGAAAAGGGAATGAAGAAAGGGACATTAAGTCTCTAAGCCTTTTCCGTCAAAGAAAGAAGACCCTGGAGGAGAATATTATCATTTGTATTTTTTATTTGACTGAGGCAGAAAAGGGCAGGAGAGAAACTTTGCAAGAGAATAGGAGGTAGATGAAGTGCTAGTTTCCTTTCCCCAAGCCCTGGGAAGACTACCTGCTGCTGACTCTCTCTTCTCTTCTTTAGAATTATTGTTCTCTCATTTGTGGAATTCCAAAATATTATAATTATCTCTGCAGGACTACTTTTGCACATATGATTTTAAAAGATTTTACTTTTAAGGCAATTAATTAACAGAATGGTGTTAATGTTCATTCCTTTCTTTTCTCCTTAAGTCAGCAGAAAGATATGCAATTATAATTTGTGCTCCTCTAATGACTGTACTCTAACCTGTTTCAGTGATGAGGCTGATGAGCAGTCTTATTCTTACAGCTTTACTAAGGAGCAATTTACAGAAAATGATTGGTGGATCTCTCTGGCTTCATTTCCTAAATTCACCCAGCCAGAAAAATAATTCTCCTTAACATGTGGTTAAACCAATGATGGCAAACCTTTAAGAGACCGAGTGCCCAAACTGCAACCCAAAACCCACTTATTTATGGAAAAGTGCCAACACAGCAATTTAACCTGAATAATGAAGTTTTACTACCTAACACAGTAAACCATCACAGGAGTAACCATTAGGAGCAGGTGCCTGGATTTAGTCATTTTTCAGACTTCCTGAAGGAGAGGTTGCTAGCATGAAGATGTTCTGCAGCAGTAACTTGTCACTTGTGCCTTTGCTAAAACAGCCTTGAAGCTGTTGGGGTCGTGGAATCATGAAGAATGAAGCAAGAGGTGCTTGCAGGGCACACCAAGAGATTCTCTCCTGCTGTTTTATCCTGGCTTCTATCTCTCAAGTGAACCCTATCTTTCATCAGATTGGATACAGAGGATTGATGGGCAAATTGATAGAACTCTTGTCAATTTTACCCAGCTTCCAAATATCCCAAATCTATTAATGTGATTGTGGCTAGTAGAAACCCAAAATGGTGTTTAAAGAACCCCAAATGTTCTCCTCTTGTAGAAATACAAAAACTAGAAAGCCAGCTACAAGAAACCTCTTGTCAGTGGAAGCAATGGAAACCATGTGCAATTAGTTGAGAAGAAACCAGCCATCCGTTGTTGACAGAAGCTTTTTCCCATTTTAATCGAACTTTCCATGTGACAGCTCAAGTTGCTATTTAAAACACAGATGCAATGTTGTTTCAAAACACTGCTTAACATTGCTAAAATTTTATCTAATGGTTTTCTAGAAGAATCCTTTACTCTTTTCCACAAGGAGCTCACATAATGCTGAAGTGGTGGTTTGAAAAGGCCAGTCAGGCATTATGTACGCCAGGGATCTTCAAACTTGAAAGCTTTAAAACTTGTGGACTTCAACTCCCAGAATTCCTCTTCTAGTCAGGTTAGCTCAGGAATTCTGGGAGTTGAAGTCCACAAGTCTTAAACTTGCGAAGTTTGAAGACCCTTGATGTAGGCAGATGAACCTGCAGAAGCCAGAGATCTGAATGTTTCAGCAGTCCAAGTCAAAAATGAATATTGTATGCATAATGCAACTTATGAGGTTTGCAGTGGTGGAAACCCCCAGTAAGAACATACATGCAATATTCTGTCACATCATCACCTATATTTTAACAAGGCATCGCAGAATGCATGTACAGCAAGTCTTGTAGGATCACAACAGAAAAAAAATCATAAAACTAGAAAAGGTAAATGTGGTGGACTGAGGAACAAGGCAAAGGCTCTACCATGAGATGAGTCCCTTAAAAGATCAATAGGGCATTTTCATGCTATAATTACTAGGGCTGAATCAGGGGTGGTATTCAGCAGGTTCTGACCAGTTCTGGAGAACCAGTAGCAGAAATTTTGAGTAGTTCGGAGAACCGGTAGCGGAAATTTTGAGTAGTTTGGAATACTACCTCTGACTGGCCCCGCCCCCATCTATTCCTGCCTCCTGAGTCCCAGCTAGCTGGCTGGGTCTTCTTTTGTTGCTGTGCACAGGAGAATGGAATTAAAAAGCAGGTTAGTGGGGTGGGGACTCCGAAGGGAATGGGGATTTTACAGTATCCTTCCCCTGCCACGCCCACCAAGCCACGCCCACAGAACTGGTAGTAAAAATGTTTGAATCCCATCACTGGGGCTGAATCACTTTTTATCTATAAGTAACAAGTTATAAAACTCTGTCTTGAAGACTAATGTGGAAAATATGACAATTGAAATAAAGAGCTAAAGCATCTGGAGATATTACAACAAAGTAAAGTTTATTGATATGCATAAACTTACAGGTTGCTGAGTTTTGGGCCAAAAAATGTCAGAGTCCCCAGGTCTACAGGGTTATAGATTATAAGCCTTTATAAAAATGTATTATACAATATTCATACAAAGAATGCTACATCAGATTAGGTGAGGGAGCTGGTGACTTCAAATGTTTATACTTCCAAACATGTCTTTCCCTCTGCTCTTCTGTTCTGATATTAGCACTAGTTATCATAAACAATTGTTGTTTTTATGTTCATCAAGTGACTCTTTTTTGCACTGCTAGAAAAGACTGGTTTATCCCAAAGGTAGCTTTCTTTCAGAAGGCAACTGTAGTTTCTTTTTTGCGCTACAGAATATTTTGCTTCTTCAGTTCTGACTGAATGGTGGAGAATGGAAGGATTTATGCTCCTAGCACTGGCAGTCATCTGGTCCTTTCTTTCTGGTCACCTGGCCTTAAAAGCCACTCTCTTAGAAAGAGTGCTAAGGAGCAGATGACGACAAGGAATGGTACCTGTTCTTTGAGAAGGGTATCATGTGGACTTTCAGGAATTTTAGAGCAAGGATGTAAGACCTGTGAAAATATCTAAGAACATAAATGAGCAAAATAAAGATTTTTTAAAAACAAAATGGAGTTTCTTTGATTAAACTAGCTATATCAGAGTTGCAATTTGAAGGATATGGACCTGGGAAATGATTCGCAAGCAAGGATAGGCATGGGGAAGTAATTAATTATAGCCCTTTCCTTTTGGTATCTTATGCCTTTCATTTGTATGAATTATATATTCTATTTCTTTTCTGCATTTTACTTTGAAACTGTTGAAAGGTGTCAAAATGCCTTTCTTTCGAGGATTTGATTTTCCTGCTGGGAGAGCTCCGCGCAAGGATACGGACTACTGCTTGAAAGCTGGATCTTTTTATTTTTCAGGAAGGCGGGGGACAGTGAGAAGTCTGCGTTCCTGGGCTAGCTAGCTTCTTATGGTAAGTCCCTGTTTTTTTATACCCTTTTCTCCATTTGTAAGTTGATTTTGTGTGAATGTTTGTATTTGTGCTTAATGTTTCAAATCCTGTTTGAGTTTGTCTTTATTCCCGCCGGAGGGCAAACTCTGCAGGGTGCGGAAGGCAAACTTTGCGGGGTGGCTAGATTGTATTATTGGTTTTCGCTAATCTTTTTTAGCTTTAAGATAGTTTTTCATATTTGTTCTGTGGCGATCTCCTGTCTGTCCCTTTTGTGATTTATATTTTGTGTCTTTTGTCTGTTTGTTTTGGTTATTTGGTATGTCCTGTGTTTGTAAGGGTTTTCTAAATTATCTTTTTGTTTCCTTTTCTTATTTGTCTAGTTTTCTTAATTACTTAGGCTTTTATCTATAGGGATTCTTTAATACCTTTTTTATTTGATTCCTTTTCCTATGTAAGTTTGTTTTACGGCTGACCTGATGTTCCCCTTGGGCTTTTCCTGTTTTTGTGACACTGCTGTCTTCCTGAAGTTCCCTTTCCACAAAACGTAATACCGTGATGGGTATGGATGTGATATACACTACTAGATGGTGACAGAGATTTAGAAAATGAATCCTTTGCTTCCATGCAATGACTGTCCAGAGTTTTGCAATGCAAATATCCTAACTCGACAGCAGCTAAATAAACAATGTGATCAGAGTGTCATGAAATGCAAAAAGACCGTCTTTCACAAAACGTATCTTGGAATATCTATCTATCTATCTATCTATCTATCTATCTATCTATCTATCTATCTATCTATCTATCTATCTATCTATCTATCTATCTATATTGCATTTTAACAAGCCCCTCTATTTTTAAGACAAGAGATCCGCGGGACAGAGATCAATTGTCAAATTGTCTAATTCGACTCTCGCAGGTAGCAAGCCACAATGCAACTGACAGACACAAAGGCTTCCCAACCGAAAGAGCGCCGGTTCATTGGCTTTACCAGCGGATTAAACCATCTCCTTTCCGGGTAATAATAAGAAACGTTGAATCAACACCCCCCTCCCCGTTCATGGTAGTAACCTGAGCGGACCATTGAGCGGACGCAATTTCCGGCTTTCTCCCGGAAACTTCACTTGACGGCTTTATAGTACGTTCTTCTATTCTTCTTCCTTCTCCCGGCTTCTCCCAAGGTACACCGTTATGGTCAGAGGGGCGAATCGCTTAAAGCCTTTCTCGCGAGAAAAGAGGAAGCCCCCTCTCCCGCCCCGCCCTCCTTTTTGGAACGTCGCTCTCAGCGGGTGGAGGGTCGCTGGTGTCCGCGCGGTGCCTTCTCCCCCCCGCCGCCCTGCGCGCGGCAGCCCCGCGCGCATCAGCTGGCCGGGTTGGGGGCGGGGGGGGGGAGAACAATGCTTCCCCTGCCAAGCCCGCGCGCTGGGGAGGCTGCCGGCGTTCGTTCCGCTCCTCTCTGGAAGGCTCCACCCTTGTGACAGGAGCCTTGGGGCTGAGTCGGGGGCGGTGGGGGGGCGGGGAGGGAAACCCTTCGCAGGAGCGTCGGGTTTAAAATGAATCTCAATCTGGGGTCCTCCAGATGCAGTTCCTAAGGTTGGGCGGGCTGACTGGGCATTATGGGGATTGTAGTAGATTGCTGTGTAAGGCAACATATCGGGAGGCCATAAGGTTGGGACATGAGTATATCAGTGGCCAAACAGGTTCCAGAGTAAATGTTTAATTCCCATTAAAAAGGGTGGGTGATTGTGTTCTTTTGAGTGTATTAATTAGTTTGGGAGAGGTGTGCCAGTTGTTTTATTATTGTACCGTAATTTGTCACTAAAAATATAGTGAAAGAGGGACTATAATACTCTGCTTAGTTTGTGATGAATTCTATTGTCATTTATCTCATTCAGCACCAAATTTATCTGCCCTTCATCCCTGTTGGACCCCAGGTGGGCACTTCAGATTTGGCAGTGGCACCATTCTGAGGTATTTGTATATGCTTCACGTATCTTTCAGGGTATAAAGAGCAACTTCCATGGAAATTAAAGTTTTGCAGATGTCATTTTTTTCCTCCAGATAATTGATAACGGATTCCTCTTCTTTTGCTATTCTCAAATGTGCCATGAAAGTTATTCCCAGTTTTATAGCTTTCAAAGTTATAAGATGACAGACATATCAGTAGATATTATTAGCCTTTTAGAGGGGATTAATCTGATACATCTGAAATATACTTTGCACAGGATATGATTTCACAGGCGCCTCTTTTCCAATTAGACAACTTCTTTTTGCGGTCAAGGGCATTGATAAATAGGAGTAAATGGCCCTGTACTTGTATCATTATATATGAGAAAGCGCTGTCCTGATTTAATCCTATCTTTAACTTCTATTTTCGTTCTTTATATTTTTATGTTTGGGGGTTTTCATTTTTGTTGTTTTTATGGAATTTTATAATAGGAAAGATTTATCTGTGTTCTGTGTAAGCCTCCAAGAGTCTTTTCATTGCAGTGGGAAAATAGTGTTATTAATAGTTAAATGTCATACCAGAAGAACTGGGGATGTTAGCTAAATATTTATTCAAAAAAGATCTAAAAAAACTATTTCTGACTTACACATTTTCCTGAAAATATTAATTATATTGTGCACAAACAAGTTGTCAGGAAGCACACTTTTATTTTCAAGTTATATATAAAGCATTTTCTTTGTTACTCATAAACTTAGTGTTACTCATAAAATAAGTGTTCAGTACAGAGAGAACAACCCAAACATTACTTATATTTTCTCCTTGGCCAGAGAGTATTTAGTATTCACTTTGGGAACCATAAAAGCAAATACAAACTTGTTTTTTTTTTTTTTGCAGATACTGATGGTGACTCTTCAGAAACAAGTCTGTGAAACATTTTGTTTGAACCAAAGGTAGAACAATCAGTAGCAGAGAGTAAGAATATCAGTTTAATAAATATTTCAATTTAACTTCAATATCTCAAGCTCTTGTAAACCAGACAGAATTCATGGGCAACAGGACATATAAAAGAGACAGTTTTGAATATATATATTCAGCCAGAATATATATTACCAGAATTGTCTGGTTTATAAGAGCTTGAGATATTGGAGTTAAATAAAAGAGACTAAACTATATGTGTTCCATGATTGAATTTCCTTGCTATTTTAAAAGACATTGTAGCTACAATAGGGTTTTTTTTTCTTTCTGTAGTTAGTTTCCTTTTCTCATGCCATTTCCTTTTGAAATTAATGCTTCGTAACAATGATTTTGATTGCCAAAATATTTTTATACAAGTAGTCCTCAACCTATGACTGGCTGTGTAATGACTGTACAAAGTCACGATGGACTTCAAAAATGTTACTTATGACCCAGCCTTGAAGTTACGACTTCCATCCATGGTCATGTTATCACATTTGGGTGCTTGGCAGCCGACTTGCATTTATGACCAGTATCAATGTCCTGCAGTCATGTGACCGTGGTTTGCAATGTTTTTTGCTGGTTTGGAAAATTGCAATAAATGCCTATTGGATATTCTGGATTTGCTTAACAACCACAACCACATGGTTCACTTAACAGATACAGTGACTTGTTTCTTGGCTATAACTATAGCGACTTGCTTCTTGGCTATAACTTCAGGTCTGTAAGTCCCTTTATTCAGCGCCTTCCTAACTTTGAATGGTTGCTGATCGAATAATTATAAGTTGAAGACTATCTGTATATGCAGCTTGAGGAAAGCTGCTTAAAAAACAGTGGAAACAGAATAAGAAGACGCTTTGTTTTCAAAATCTGTTTACACATTGCAAACATCAAATTGTCTGGCCTAGTGGATCACAAAACTCCACTTTGTCCAGGATCAGTCACAATTGGAAATTTTATTGGTTGCTTTGGTGTAATTTTTATTGTACAAAGAAGCTGTTTATTGTACAAAGAAGCTGTTTATTAAACCATAATAAGGTTTGGAAAGATGCTGCAATGACACTAAAGGACTTACACGTATCAGTGGGAAAATAATAGAAAGTAACAAGAAGCTGAAAAATGTATTCTGATTTCTGCTGAAAAACCAAGAGTTGTCTGACTTATAAGCTTTGTGTGTCAGTGAGTAGTAATAATGAATCAAAAATCTCTCTTACTTGTTAGGATGTTCTTTGAAGCCATAATTTTCAAAAGGGACATAAAGATGTATTTATTTTGAACAGGAAAGTGATATTTAATGCCGATAGTTTTGTACATTTACAATTGTGCAATAATCGGAAATTCAGTGAAAAAGATATTGAATTTGTTTTGCTCTAAAAATAAAAGGATTCTGCACAAGAGAAGATTACTTAAATATTTGTTTAAAAATTACGTTGAAAACTAAGAACATATTATATATACAGATATTTATCCTAATAGTTTTGGTAAAGTAGTGGTTAGCATATTGTATTCCCGAACAACTGGTTTTATTTCTGCTTTTTTACCCTTAAGAAGAGGTATAAAGTATACTTCCTTGCATCTATTTCCAGTTGTTTTGGTCCCTCTTTTAGGGTGAATAATGCAGTAGTTTGCATGATGTATTTACCTACATATACAATACTTACAAAAACGTGCCCTATTGGACAGAACCCTCTGTTATTGGTCTGGCACTTATATGTAAAGTTACCCTTCACATTAATATGCAAAACTGGAGAAAGGATGAGTAATTACTAGGCTGTCCTCCAATATAATTTTTGCCTGTGGATATGGCTTCCCTAAACTGCAAATTATCCTGCAACCAAATATGGTTAGATGATGATATGAAATTACTAATCATCTTTTTCTCTTAATCCCAAAGGAATTGATGAACCCTCCCAAAAGATGGAGACCTTCAGGGACAAAACTGTAGATGAATTGAAAGAACTGCAGGAAAATTCCGAAGAGATTGAACGGTTGGCATTGGAGTCGAATGAGGTAATCATTCATGTACATGAAAGTTATTGAAGAGAGAAACCATTTTTTAAAATGAGTTCTACCTGCCTGACATTTCATTTCTCAGGTCCAAAATGTACAGTTGCAAAGGGAGATGGCTCTGGCCACAAATCGTAGTCTTGCAGAGCAAAACCTGAAGTTCCAGGAACCCCTGGAAACAGGACGTGCAAACCTCTCTGACAGATATCAAGATCTGCAGAAACTGATAGAGCGATGCGAGGAGCAGAAGTCAAAGCTGGGTAAATTTTCAGATGACTGTGGCTGATGGGGATAGAGGTGGAATAAAATTAGCCAATAGGCTTTCTCTAGCCAAGATTTTGTATGTGTGTGCATTTCCTTCATTTTGATCTTGGGACGTGGAATGGCAACAGGATATGGTTGGCATCTTCTCATCTGGATGCATTTGTTGATAACCCCAGTAGTCAAGCCTGCACGGCATTATAGTGTCAGTGACCTTCTGGTTAGTCAAACACAGCACTTGTAATAGAGTTTTAGTTTTAACTGATCACCTTCCCTTCTTCCTTCTTAGTGATGGTTTCAGATTCCATGGCACTAGCTCTTAAAGCAATAGAATTCTTCTTTTAGAAGCTGGTAGCCTTCATGTACTGTATATGTACAGGACCAGGTGCTTGCATTGAAATGAAAAAGAAGACAGAGATATTTTTGTTTAATTTTTAGGTGTCTTTTTTTTTTCTCAGAGCAATTCTCGGCAGCAACAAAGCCTGATACCCTGTTAAATCTTCTGAAGGTGGAAGGACTCAACATTGAAGAAGAATCTGAGGTTAGTCTGTTATTTAAATTCCAGAGGGAATAAATGATTTTAATTGTTTTTATTGTCAGAAATTGAACTTTAAAAGTCAGTCTTTCCCACATTTTGTCCTTGTTATACAACACAAGCATATACCTGTGATCTTTATATGGCCCTTAAAAACATCCCTTATTTACCCTTGAAATTGGTATCGGTTGCACCTGAAAATTCCACTGGGCTAGTGATCAAAGAAATTGAGTATATTTCCTCATCTTCTTCCTCCTCCTTGGATCTGGTAGGTATTTTGCTTGTAATAAATCAGTATTTTTTACCAGCTTTTGATCCTTCACTATGTGCATAGCATCCAATTAGTTTTCAAGTAAATTCAGTGAAGGCATCAAAAGAAAGTGTTTAATAGTCTGTTATCTCATTGTTTCATCTATTTTGAGGGATTGTTTCACCTAAGCAATTAGCCTTGGAAGGTTAATTGAGGTTAGTCACCTAAGCATAAATGGAGCACAGATTAAAATATAGCAGGAAATATGTTCTCTGCATTATTTAGGAATGAAAGGAAATTGACAGAACTTGCACCTTTTACTCAAATTCTTCATGTGTTTAACTTAGGTCTTAAGCTTCTTCATTTCACTTTCTCTATTGGAGAAGAATAACCATTAGTTTTCTCCTTGCATTATCCTACCATTTTCAGGGTTTTTTGAATATCTTGGGTATGGAAGTCTTTATTGCCAGGGAATTAGAATGCAGCAGTCCTTGGCTTCTGATGGTAATTGGGAGTAGCATTTCTGTTGCTAAGCAATGCCACATCGTTTAGCTTGGGAGACAAGCAGCTTGGGACCTTCTCTGCTGGCTTCCCCATTAGCTTTGCTTATGAGAGCCTGCAGGGAAGGCCACAAAGGGTGATCATGTGACTGTAGGATTTTGCCACCTTCTGGTTGCCAGGCGCCCAGATCATAACCACGGGGCCATGAGGATGCTGGGACAATGAAGCCTAGTTGCAAGTACCACTTCTTGCAACTTTGAATGGTCACCAAATAAGTGGCTGTTAACTGAGGATTATCTGTCTGTTCCCTTTGATGCAGATGGAAGCATTGTTTTAATATATATATATATATATATATATTTCATTCCAGATGATGGCTGAAAAGTTCCTGGAGGGGGAGGTGCCTTTGGAGACATTTCTTGAACAGTTTTCTACCATGAGGAAGTTATCTCATCTACGACGTGTAAAAGTGGAAAAACTTCAAGAAGTGTTGCAAAAATCTCAGTCCTTGCCAGAGCCAGCAGACAACCAGTCTCCTTCCCACATATCTTCTGGACCTATAAATCAGCAGCCACAGAAGCGTTCAGCTGGGGAACCAGCCTTTCCTTTACCTTATGGTCTATCTCCTTGTGTTCCAACAGGCCCTTCAGCTTATGGGGCTCTCCAGCCAGGCCCCTTTGGAGGAACACCAGTTGCAGTGGGACACAGTGCCTCCTCTCAGCCAAGTGCTCAGCCCCCATTTCCATATAAACCACCCTCAGGTCCTGGATACCCATCTGTTCCTTCAAGTAATCCAGCACCCCAGCCTCAGGCAGGGGATCTGGCTTCATCCGGGTACTCTTGGTCTCCATCCAGAACATCGTCTTCTGGTCCAGGGTATCCACAGCCTTCTTTCAGGGCTCCATCAGTAGCACCAGGATTTCCTCAGCCTATGCAGCCTCCCTATTTCCCATCGGGAGGAAGACCACAGTGTCCTTACCCAACTCAACCTGCAGCGGCTGGCTTCCCTGTTCCCTCCCAGCCTCCATATCCTCCATCTTTTGGGTATCCGCCACCACATCTTCCCCCTCGGGGCCATACTTATTAGACCAGCTTTCCAGGCAGTATTTTACATGGTGGCTGATGAAATGATGTCTTGTTAGCTAATGAACCCCAAGATGAAAATTGGGGAGGGTCATCCTGAGAAACATATATACATAAGCATTACACTGATGTAATAAATGATGGAATAATACTGTTAAGAGCTGCAAAGGAAGGTCGTCGCTTATGGTTCTGTTTGTAAGTTATAGTGATGGTAGGCAGCCTTAATGGAATCAGTATTGACCAAACATTCAGTTCAAGCCATAGTATACAGTACATACAAAGACCCAGAGCTCTTATCATGGCACTGTGCTTGCTAAGCTCTTTAAGGAAGACTTAATTGACAGCAACCTGGATCTGGTTTTGTGTAGGGAAGTGTGTATGCGTATGTGTGTAGTTTTCTAATTTAGTCTATTAGAATATATTAAAAAGTTCTATATACCTGTATTCTTACAAAGAATCTGATGGAGAAATCAGTTAAGCCTTTCTGATGTAAAACATGCTTTCTAAAGAAGTCTAAAGTTTCTCTTGGCATTAGGAAGTACCTCCTTGACAATAATAGTATGTTTGCTAACTCCACAAAGAAAGAAAAGAGAAAGGAAAGAAAGAAAGAAAGAAAGAAAGAAAGAAAGAAAGAAAGAAAAAAAGAAAAAGAGTCTTCACCTATTCGTAGCTACTGCAGATTACCAAACGATTGCTGCTGGGTGTCCCCATATGGAAGCTTTGGAGAACCCTTGTCAGCCTAAGGGAGCATGTTTTTTCATAGAACTGCGTTAACAGCAATGGATGAGGTCAGCACCAAAGGCCAAAAGTATTCTGCTCTGTTATGCTCACCGTTCACCCATTTTGCAATTTGTGGCGAGAGCTTCCACAAAGTCCACAAGTGCTCCTTATCCCATGCTGCAATTTTTTTTTAAAAAAAATCTGCCATTGTTTAGATTCTCCTCTTTCTTCCGTAACACTTAAGTAACTTGCACTTTCTTGATTTCATAACATCAAGCAAGACTTACCATGACTTCTTCAGTCCATATACTACCCTTTGAACAATTGCTGTATGATTTTGTTTGACCTAAGGAACTTGTGATCTTGGCACTGCTTGGCAGTTGACTAGCATTATAGACTAAATAGCCAAATCACTATGCATTTTTTTATATTGGGGAATAAATGAAGTAATGTCCTACCTACATTATTGAGTGTGACAACCTTCTCAGGAATTTGGATTTGTAGCTTCCATCATATCCAGATCCTTTTCTTTAATAATCTTTTAATTTTACAGAAAGTGTAGGAAACAGGCATTTCCTTTTTGTTCATTGTTCCACTTTGGTTGAGAAGAAGAAACACTGGGTATCAATTAATAGAATGCAGGAGATGTAATGGAAAACAAAACAGTTTTGCTAAGCACTTTATCCTCTTGCTCATCTGTAATTTATTTTTTAAAAATAGATTTGACTAACTTTCAGACTTGATGGAAGCAATTGCATATATGTGATTATGGTAATAAAATTTGATGAACTGCATAGAATTGTGTGGCTGTGAATTTTGGAAATGAGATTGTAGCTAATATATGCTTGAAATTTTTACAACATTCTCTCTGAATTATATTGTATCAATACGTCTCTTCATTTTCATCTCATAGGTTCATAACTTTTGCACTAGCTGACCTTTAGTTTGCTTAAAGATATATTTTTGTGACAATATCCCCCTATAGACCAATAGATTTAACTCATCTCCAATTCTTTTAACATTGAAGCATCTCTTTTCTCTAAATTTTAATTTTCATGATTCATTTCTTCCTCCTTTATTATTCTTTTAGTGACTCCATTCTCTGTATTATTTCCAGTATTTCCAGCCAATAATAATTTAAATTATCATTTAGCTTTCCTCAAAGTTGATCTAATGTGTAATAACTTCTTATATCTGTATATCCATAACATGACTCTCTTTAGGCAACTTCATATCAAGTGTACAAAGGAGTAAAGAATTAGGGGGAAAAAGTAAAGATAGGAGATAGAAAAGAAAAACGCTGTGATTTACACAAACACCGCTCACTAGACTTTTCCAAATCTTTGTATCCTTGCATCTTTGGTTCCACTGTTTCATTTCATCTCTTCATATGTAGCCTTTTGCTTTTTATATTACATTTTCTCACATCTGTTTATTTAGACCACCAGTTTCCCTTCCTCTTCAGCCTCTCATTTTTTATTCGTATATTTGAGATTTGATTCTCATTCTCCATAAATAACCATACCACACAAATAACCAAATCATTTCATGATACTTTTGCATTCAGTGCATATTCATTAAATATTCCTGAATATGTACCCTATCTTCCTTTGCTGATACATTAGGTATTGTACCCCATTCCAGCTGCAGCCAAGTTCTTATGTTTCTCTTAACTTATCCACCTCTCACCTCTGTATAACAAATTGAGCAGAAGCAAATTGTTATATATAACAATCTCACACCAGAACATTTGGGGGCCACTGTCTGTCAGCATTTATCCTAAAATTTCTCCATTTTCCCATATTTAGTAAGCATTCGACCAAAGTACACATTGATTTGCTAGTTTTTTTTCCGTTTACAGTATGTGTAGCTGGCAGTCATCCACTCCATTTCCCTATCAAAGGCAATCATCTTAATCTTTTGTACATTATTTTTCAGAACCAAGACCATTGTGGCAGCAAACATTGATTGCAAATCATTCAGCTGTTTAGTCAACAAATAACATTGATGACATACCAAACACCCCCCTCCCCTTATTTCCAACTGATTCACCTATTAAAGTCACCACATTCCATAGCATTCCACAAATATAAACACATGAAGCAATTGTATCCTTCCCAATATTTTTATCATAATTTGTGACTCCCACATTTCGACTTTCCTTGGGAATGCAAGAAGATTCTATAACTTCATCTCGCGTCAACTTAATTGGTATAATTCCAAGTTTAATGTTTTCTTCCCTAGTAAAAAAAGGAAGATCTTAACTAATTGGTTGATCAAACTAGAAGAAGATTTTGCAATATCAAAAGTCAGAGAGTAGTATATCTTGCCATTTAGTTATTCACGAGCTAGAATTTGTACCCTCATAAATCAGCAATAAACAAAATATGTGAGTCCTACATCACCTATGAAGGCATTTTTAATTATGATATACTGGACTTTTCTTTGGGTTCTTTACAGAATGCATCATAAGTATATCAATTTGTCATTTACTTTATATGTGTTTGTATATTTTTTTTCTCTTTTTGCAGAAGGAGTGGGGGAAATACAGTGAAGTCCTTAGATTTTGTTTCTTTACAGCACTTTTCTAGAGGAGAAGTCGCAGATTTCATTACACTTCCAGAGAAGACCATTATGTTTCCATTATTTTGAGGAAAATAACATTTCTCATCTTAGTTACATGATGGTTTACATTATTATAATAGACTTTACATTTGCAAAATGCTTTGTTCGGGATCCCAAAGGTGCTTTTTCAAGAAGGAACTGGACTTTCTTGTTTTTCTTTTAAGGCATTTCACTTCTTATCCAAGAAGCTTCTTCAGTTCCATTTTAACCAGCGATTTTTACTTTGAATTACTTTGTTTTTTATTATTGTTTTCTGGGAATTTAAGTATTGTATCATCATTAGCTACATTAAGCAAACCATGGGCAGAATCTTTTCTACTAAAGCTGATAATGATTAATTGACTTAGTCACCACCTGACTTTCCATACCACTTTGGATGACTCACAATATAGCAAGACAGACTTTAAAAATAACACTGTACAAAGTAAGTAGCCAGATGTTTCTTATTGTTTATTTAATCCAATTAATCTAAAAATGCAGACTACAAAGGATATTTATTCATCCTAATTTAAGGCCTGGTTGAACAGCTAGGTTGCCAGCTACCACCTCAAGCTTGCACTTCACCATCATTTGGTATCAGCTGCCATGAACTCTAGGGGAGTGGGGAGCAGATGGGAAGGGATATGCTTCGAGGGAAATGAAACTTCACCTTCACCGTACCTCTCCAAGATGGGCTTCAAGGACAATCCGCTGGGAATGGAATGCAGCTGCCTACCAAACCTACACCTGAAGTGACTGTTCTAAAAACATCTTGTTTAAATTTGTTTGGATATGGGCACCCAGTGATAGGAAGGAAAAATTAGACTTGGGGATTTTGGCACAAAATTTTCAATTCTGGCTATGGATTACTAGAATTTATTGGACTTCTAGTAAACTATACCTTTCTCAATCAATGGGGAGAATTAAGGAACATTCTTATTTAGAGGTTCAAGCTGAGGCAGGTCTGACACAGCCTTAAAAGCCTCCAAGAGTGCCAGTGGAGTAGAACCATACAGATTTCAGATGCTGTTGCAGAGAAGGTACCACTCTTTAGTAGGCAAGTACTAACCCATTCAAGTGTCTATGGAGATTCTCAGTCATCCAGGTCATGGTTGTCCCGAAGATGCTTTTTCAAGAGGCAACTGGACTTTATGGTTTTTCTTTGAAAGTGTTTTGCTTCTCACCCAAGAAGCTTCTTCAGCTCTGACTGGATAGTGGGGAATGGAAAGATTTATATTCCTTGCAGACAGCTGGTCATTTGCATTATTTTACAGAGACATTGAGGCCACCTGGAGGTTTCAGGGTTCTCAGGATCACCTGAGTAATGCAATTGGGTGTGAAAACCTTGGAACTCTTGAAAGGACTGTGTTGTGGACTCAAGATAGATGGTGTCATATCCTTTCCCTTCTATTGAGAGAGGGCTGTTCAATTTTGACATAGATGGCCTCTTTGACCCCTCTTCAAAATCAGCAGTCCTCTCTGTCCAAAATGTGAACTTTGTTGTCTTCAACAGTGTGGACTTTGTCTTTTAAATACAAATGGATTGCTGAACTTTGTCCTAATGGGTTTGTTCTATGTTGTGCCATACATTTATGAAATGGTTGTTTTGTTTCCCCAATGTACAGATCTGCACATGGCTCACTGCATTGTACTGCATATACCACATTGCTCAGTTTGTGTTTGCGAGTTTTATCCTTGGGGTGGACAAGCTTCTGCCTTAGTGTATTCTTGAATTTGAAGTATGCATGTAAGTTGTGTTAGCTGAAGAACCTCCTGAACTTTTCCAATATTCCTGTAATGTATGGAATTACAACATTGCTTCATTTATAGTTCACTTTGTTGTCTGTTATCAAAGAGCTCCTGTAGGGTCTTTTTTGACATTTGATGAAAGCCCACTTGGGATAGCCACACATTCTGAGGGCTTCCTTGATGTGTTTTAGTTCTTTTTCTTTCCCATCTTTGCTGATAATGTTACCTAGTTTGGTGATGAAACATCTATAAATCAACCACAAAGAGCACCAAAGACCCCACAGTTCAACCCCAAGCTCCAAAAAAATTCTCTTCTATTGGTAACATATTTTATTAAAAGATATAAGCTTTTGTAAGCTGCAATCCATCAGACGAAAAAGTACGTATCAGCATTTGTGCATATGGTTATTTCAGTTGAACTACAGCTCAAGAAACCAAAAAGATGTAGGCCATTTATTAACTACTGCACAAAGAATGAACTTCTGTATCATTAAAAAAACCTTTCCCTTCCAAACGTAGAACTAACTATAGAACTGGTTGAAAATGCTTGATACAATCATCTGACCCACCAAAAATATATTAAATAGTTGAGAGGCTACCTCCCTTTCTCCAAGACAGTGAGCAAGATTAACATGATATCTCTGAAATGTACAACAATTTAAACAAGTGAACAATACAGCATTAATCCATATGAGAAATCAGTTGTGAACTGGATGTGAAAATTGGAACTATGGACCAACTTTTTGCAGTCACTAATGTCAATAACCAAATAAAGAATGAATGTCATATGTGCTACATGAATGTTGACTGCATAGTTCCGCCCCCCACCCACCATTCAAATTAAACTAGTGTTGCTTAAAGATAGTTCAATAGATCTAACAATAAATAATCCTCTCACCAATTAGCTCCAAAAATTATTTAATTGCAATGTATTTATAACACAGAGACTTATAATCTTTTTATAAGTATATGTAGATTCTGTACAGCCTAAAAAGGGAACATTGATTTAAATGCTCTGGGCCAAGAGATAAATGCTATTTGAATTTTCCAGCTGAATAATATTAGCTCTTCTGACTTACCCTAATTCAGTATCTCAGTAAGGTGATTATACATTTCTCTACATATGGCTTCTTCATGTATACTGTATCTTCTTCAAATTTTAATTGACACATAAATCTTCCTTATTTGGCTTGCCAGAGATCGCCTAGCCTTATTTTGGGTGATCAGGTAGGAGGATGTTAATCCTACAGTGGTCTATAATCCAAATTGGTTTTCAGTGACTGAAACTGGGAAATTTCTATCTCATCAGTGTATCTTTGATGGGTTGAAATTCAATATAACTGGCTGGGAAAAACATATTAATACTCAGTGTATAGTGCTATCATTGTGGAGGTAGAGAAAGTGTACATGTTACAGAACAAGTGCAATTTGTGTTGGA